TTTAGTTAAGTACAGTAACATGTTCCAATTAAGAACCACTTCTTTTAATTGTTTATCCAATTTCTCGTAAATTTTCTTTTTTTTTTTTAACGGGTAGCTCACCAGACATGTATTTTTCAATTTTTGCTTCTTGAAGGCCTACATAATTGTAATAATATTACTTAAATAAAAATAAAAAAAATAATAATTGTATTTTATTTACCTTGCTCTAGTTGGAGACACTTGATAAATTTCCATATCGATACATGATGAGCTCCTAGAGATCCATTAAAGGCATGGTGCCAGCCCTCAACGGCATTGTTTGTGCGAGGCTTATTGTCAGTAACGGATTGATAACAATTCCACAAATCAATATTAAAATGTGCTCTTCTTTGTCCTCTTCGCCCTAAACGTCCAATCCACGTGTCTTCAAAATACATTATTATAGATTGTAATAGTTCTTAATTTTGTATATAATATTCTGATTCAATAAGCTCATCTAAGGCTTCGATTACTTTATTTGGTGGTATAAATGACAATGAACAAAGAAGTCGAACTTGTAATGCAAATTCAGAATCTTGACCATATTTTATCTGTAGGCCACTATTTTGTATTTTCCTCCAAACATACTGAGTAAAATGAAAAAACCAACCTTTAATAACCGCCGTTGGAAATTCTTCTTTAAAAGTTGATATAAAAGCATTTTCAAAGTCAACCATTAACATAGATGGCTTCAGATTTGGTTTCTTAGTTTTTAAAAATTTAAAAATTTCTGAATACGTTTCTTTTGTTCGGTCAGTCATTGAAATATAAACTAAAGGATATGTAGCATTTTTTTTTACAAGCGTGAATTGTATGAAGTTGAGAAAACAAGCGTGGAACAGATTTAAAAGTTCCATCAGACTTCCAAACATCTGATTCACTTAAAAAATCTAAATTGTTTTCTGTAGTAAATATTAAACTACGTTTCCCTTCCTTGTTAATATCGTGTAACAAAAATGGAACCTCCGTTTTGGTTACCTTATATTGGTCTGGTAATATTAAATCAGTTATGTTGATTGGATTTGTAGGGTGATCATTATACTTATTTCTTGTTCTACGTACAGTCTGAGATAACATATCAATTGGTGATAATTTACTAATAGTTATTTTAGATACATCTGAAACTATTTTACTGACTACATTTCTTGCAGGTTCACATGACGTTTTAGCTTAATTTTTTAATTTATCAATTGCTTCTTTAACATTAACTTTATCAGCATTTGGAGGGTGACTATGTGTGGGTATTTTTATAATTTCTCCTAAAAAAAAAAAATAAAAAAAAATTTAATTGACTGAAAAAAACAAATGCATTTTTGACACCTAAAGTGTTTTGACGTACCTGATTCTTCGTCATTAGTTGTATGACAGCGTCCTTCACATTTGTAATTTATAAATTCAACACAGCGCCAAATACATTTATTTTTAGTCGATCAGTGTAAGTTATGCAAATATCCGTCGTATGAAAGTAGCTTTTTGCCTTTTTGGCTATTTACAAAAATTAAATTCGACATTTTTCGTTTTCATTTTCACGGATATGAAATGGTAACCACGCTCACAAGGGTAATGCCGATACCTTATCGAAAACTTATTTTATCATTTTTATTATTTCAACAAAATACAGGTATTGCGACAGGCTTAATATACAGATATGGAAAATGAGATAATCATAAATGACTATTATATTGAATTCTACTTATATTCATTATATACTATGATTTACAAATAATATGTATGTTAGTTTAACTATAACCTAATTGATGAGAAGTTAAAAAAAGTTTAAAGTTAAAAAATCTTTTGTATGTATATTGTTATAAATTAAGGGACAATATTATAGGGATATTTTGAATATAGGATATTTGTAACGGGGATATTTTTAACGAGGGATATTTTGAGGGTGCACCCTACTCAATCAACTGTTGGCGATTTAAAATAATTATGGTCTTCAAAAATAGAATCAGCTTCCAAATCTTCATTTTCCATGCAATTACTTAACTTTAATTTTAGCGCTTCAATATTCTTAACTCTCACTTACATCTGAAGAATCATAACAAATTAGAAAAATTTTAATGATAATCATCATAAATACTTATATTACCATCAGTGTTATAGATATTTTTAATGTCATCAATTGATATTTTTGGAAACTTTGAATTCAGTACTTGGCAATTACCTGTCTTTGGTGGTATTATAACTGAATATATTGATATTAGTTTGTACATTTGAAGGAAAGTTGGAGTTGCAGAGTGGTCATTAGGACCAGTTTACCGACGACAGTTCCAAAGAATAACTATGATTTAAATTGAAATGTATATAATATTATCACTTCAAGAATTAAAAGACAGGGACATATAATGTTATTTACCTCTAAAGCATCTTGGTTCATTTTACTTGTGAGTACATAATGAAAACCACAATCATTAAGTAAATAGTTACACAAATCAATAGTAGACCGTAATGTTACTCTTAAACCCTCAGCAGTGTTGGGTGTTAGAAAATCCTTTTCACTTTTTTTACCATCAATCAACAAAGCCCATCCCGAAAAAACCCGGGCTGCTTTTCTGGGTTAAATCCACTTGATATTTTGAAAAACCCATACAAAACCCGGGTTGCTTTTCTGGATAAAATTCTCTTTTTCTTTACCTATGTTAATTTTCAGAAAAATTTTAATTATAGGAATTATTTATTTTTCCAATTAAAATATTAAATTGTTATGAAAAAACCTTATTATTTTTTTTTTTTGTTAGTTAGGTACAAATAAAAGTATATAATAGAAAAAACTACACACCAACGGTCAATATAAATGTTAACATTTTTTTATTTTTAACAAGATATTAAAATTTAAAATATCAAATAGCTAACTTTCCTTTAAAGTTTAAATACTTATTAAATAATACAAACAAAAATTAATAGTTAAATAATAACAAATACTTGCTAATGAAATAAATAATGATAGCTACTCTGTCAGTCTGATAGTGAATTTCAATTAATAGTTGATAAGAAGTTTAATTAATAAAAGTCCTCCTCAACTTCTCCTTGAGAGGTTTTTATGTTTAGAAATCGGTGGATCTTTAATATTTGGCTTCCTTTTCATGACCAAACCGATTTCTAAGTTTATTAGAAATTAGGCCGAAAGTTGAAAATATTCGCTCCAATGATGCAGAGCTAGGAGGAAAAAGTAGGGTAGGGCTGAAAAAAACGAACAAAACTCTGAAGGCAATTTTTCTCCTATCGTGGTTCGGCATTTCATTACATTCCACCATTGTCCTGGCTTTGATTTGTATAAGTCAAAAGTATGGATTCCAAGAACATCATCGAAACTGGAATTACGGTAGGGTCCTTCATTTTGAGAGCCAAGAATCCAGCAAGAAATTCTGGATAAGTAAATATCACATTGATCCTTCTTTGGAAGAAAAAACCAATATTAAATTCAGTGTTAAATATACGTAAGTAAGTGTCGTAATTTGCAGGTTGTAGGTTAGCGGAAGTTCTTTGAGAAGAATAATTTCTGTGCATTTCTGAGATAGTTAAGCCACCATCGATGAACTCTCTACAGGTGTCAATTCTTACATAATGACTCTCGATTAGAGGAATTGAGTTTATGTGGTTTCTAACTGAGGTCAAAACTCCGGGATCAGTCTTGCGATGATTTGAATGTTGTCTATAGGGGCTATCCTAGTCCCAGTTTTTCATTGGATAACAGTACGAATTCTTCTTTCGGTTATTCCAAAGGTATTTATCTAAAAAGTTTTACAAACACGAACTTTTTGCTCATTTTTCCTAATGTAGAAAGCGCCATTTGGCTTTCTAGGTTCTTGAGCACTTCCGCGACGGTATTTCATAATAAGTGTTTCGATGCATGAATTCAAGTAGTCCCGTTGTCGTTGGAAAGAACCCATAGCCCAATGATCTGCAAATAGTTGTGATCTGTAGTCCTCTGAAATATTTTTTATACACTAGAGAATACATTTATCACTACTTGGTGGCCCCATCTTTCGTGCATCAACCATTTTTCCTGTTCTTGATTTATAAGCTTGCCCTGAATTTTTCAACCTTTTTGCTTTCACTTTGCCACAGTTGTTAACATCGCGCAGTCTTTTTTTTTGGTTTGTTAGTAGGACAAGTTGTTTCAAGAAAATTACCTGAATTCGAGTCAGCACTTCGAGTTGCACTCGGTGTATCTGTACCTGAACTTGATGAGTCATTATTTTCACAGGATGGTAGGTAACTGTCACTTGAGCCAGCAATTGACAGTTCATCTGAATTACTTTCAGAACTACGTAATAATATTGGTTGTCTTTTTATAATTGATTTAGTTGCGCTGGTTCTTGTAATCAAATACACACTTTTTCTAGGTGTAACTTTCTTTACATGTTGTTGTGAAGTTTTCGCTTGTTGGTTTTTGCTGATGACTAATGTTTCTAGCTCTTTAGTTGGTGGTCCTTCGCATGATTGCATGTGTTGCTGTTGTGAAGTTGTCGCTGCTGACTACCGTTTCTGGCTCTTTAATTGGTGGTTCTTCACAATAATTCCATGTGTTGCTGTTATGAAGTTGTTGCTTGTTGACCTTCGCTGCTGACTGCTGTTTCTGCACCTACTTGTCCTTCCGTCACAGCAATCATAGGCGGTACTACAGGAGGGGCAGGGTATGCAACTTCCCCTCCTGTGGACCGTACCTTATTATTGTATCTAATATATAATTCCTTGAATTATCGATTTCCTAACTCTAAAAAATAGATTTTTAGAGTGATTACCTAATATAGTAGTGTAGTATGCTGGCACTGAGATAGATAAGAATCTTATCTATCTGAGTGTATGGTGGTAACCACGGTTTAAGATAGAATCTTAAACCGTGTTGGTAACTGAATCCTGATAAAGTGATTTGCGTGAAAAATAGAATAATAATATGTACCACGATTTCATAGATAATAGATAGTAGATAATAGACACTATAGGCACAAATAGTGTGACGTCACATTGTCTATTGATAAGACCGACGGTTCAAAACAAGCCGTTATCACGGTTCATTCCATAAGAAATACATGGGTCGAAAAACATGTTTGAAAAAAATTGGTTTTAAGTGCATTTGTATTTTTTTCTTAAAGTTCTAACTATTAAAAACATGTTCTTTACAAGTTTATACATATATACCGACCAAAAATATGAAGCTAAACGCTTTTTTCGTCAATATAATCAAAGTGTAGTATTTTGTATTTCTATGGCACACACATTATACCACATACTCTATGGATTATACACAAATCAGTTAAGTATTATTAATATTTTTTACTATTGCAATTTTTACATAGAAGTATGTACTATTTTCCCTCCATTTTACATAATAAGTATGTTTTATTACTATACTTATATATTATATAATTTGTTGTTTTTTTCTTTTTGAGCCATTTGCTTGCCCTAAGCTTTGTTTCGGCGGTCTTCAGTAAGAAAATAAAATTTCTTTTTTGAAAAGATTTTTCAATGTGAGTTACTAATTAAACACATTTTACATAATATTTATTCCAAATTAAAATTTGTTAAATAATTGTTGTCTTAGTGTTAAAATGGTTCAATGTTGGGTTCCGCTGTGATCTCACATTTCCAACCGAGAAACCTGCAAGTTTTTTAGATTTCCAGCTAATGATATTGAATGTAAAGTCTGGGCTAAATCAGTGAGGTAAAGTATATTTCAAATAGTTATATTCTGTTAAATTTTCACATACATAATTTATTGATTTAAGTTAAATCTTATTTTTGATTATAATACAACTTTTTACATGACAGAAGAGCAGATACATATCCCACAAAAAACAACAAAATATGTAGTTGCCATTTCAAAGATGGTTTAAGAGAAAATGGACCTACTGAATTTGTTTGGAATAAAAACTCATCCTTTTCATTTACATCTCCTGAAAAACATACCAAGTATGCAAAAGAAAATAATTAACTTTTAGATTCAATTCAATATTAACTATATTTATTATTGCTTTTTTTTTTTTATAGTAATTGATCTGTATTATTATCATAGGCACAAATCACCCAAAAATATTAGGGGGGCTTAAGTACCAAAATTTTTAAGGAAACAGAGCCAGCTCGTGAGGGGCTCCTCGCACACCCCAATAGTACCATACCATATACATTAATAAAATATAAATCTCACAAATATAACTAAACATTTTAAGTAAAACAAATTAATTTAATTTATTATACAAATTTAATGAAAATGTAAGCTTATTTTCAGCATACTTATTTAAAATAATTTCATTATTAAGAACTATAATATCTCTTTCAATGTGAATAACTGATAAGTCTGATAGTCTTTAAATAAACTTAAATTAAATTAATTTTTAATAAATGTTATCATGTTATTATGGAAATATTATGTTAGTAACATTATATAAGTTATAGGTAATTACGGGATTCGGGGTGCTATCATTAAAATTTGGGGTGCTAAGGGTTGCTTAGCACCCCTGCGATTTGTGCCTATGTTTATTATTGTATTTTATAACTGTTAGTTTTCTTTGAGATTAACCTTGCTAGTGATGCTAGTCCTTTACTTAAATCAATCCAGTCTACTAATCATACCAGCTATCTTCATATTTCTGTACTCTATTTAACTATCACTCAATTATTTTGTATTCCCATCCATTTCCTTCTTTCTACATTCATCTTCATAAAAAACCCTCACTGATTTATTTTATTTTTGTTTTAATTGTTTGTAATGATTGTATTTGTTCTTTAATAAATAGTTGTGGATATTAATATAATGTGTGTGTATATGGTTCAAAATAAATTAAATATATGATGTATATTAAAAAAATAAAATATTTGTTTATTTATATTTTATATAACCCTGTATTTATCTCAGATTAATACTTAACTAATTATAACTTATAAATTATATTTTTTTTTATCACTAATAAATGTGTTAGAGTAGAATGGAGTTAGAATAAAGTTGTATAAGCTCATTGTAAATGGATTAATAAGTAAGTATTATTAAATTATTTATGCTAACATAATTATATGATGCATGCATAATTGTATTTGTATTGTCAGCATAACAAAATATTATTAGCATTAAAAAATGAAATTTTAAAATCCAGAATTTGTTTTTTCTATTATTATATTAAAGGCGTAAGAAGGTAGACAGTGCATCATGTTCACAGGAAAACAAAAGTTCAATTATTATTGAAAATAGTGCAACAACTGAAACTTATGTTTTAACACCTACAAATAGTAAAAGTGATGAAGTTGAAAAGTATTTTCTTCATAAAGAAATTGAAGAATTAAAAAAAGAAAAATTGTTTCTTAAAAATAACCCTTTTGGTTACCACTCTATTGAATCTGATAACAAATTATTTGAGTTTTACTGTGGGATTAGTAAATCTATGTTTGACATAATTGTTGATTTATGTTCAAAAGTTTCGTTTAAATATTATTATGATTGGAATGTTGAAAAATTTTGTTTAAAAGACCAAATCCTTATGACTCTTATAAAACTAAGATTGAATTTAGTTTATCCAGACTTAGCATTTAGATTTAAGACTAATGAATCCACAGTAGGTAATATTATATTAACATTAATAAGTGTCCTTCATGAAATTTTATTTATTAACTTAATGAATACAGTACCTTCACAGAATAAGAACCAAAATTGCTTGCCAGAATGTTTCAATAATTTTCAAAATTGTAGAATAACATTAGATTGTACTGAAATTTCATGCGATATTCCTAAATCCCTTTTGGATCAAAAGCTCACATATAGTTCTTATAAGAATAAAAATACATTGAAAGGGCTTATTGGAGTGGCTCCTAATGGTGTTATTACTTATGCTAGTAAATTGTATCCTGGATCCACTTCTGATAAAAAAATTGTAGGCCACTGTGGAGTATTAAATATATTACAACCAGGTGATTTAGTGTTAGCTGATAAAGGCTTCCTAATTTCAGACTTAATGCCTCCAGAAACTTCCTTAAACATTCCCCCTTTTCTTATGTCTCCACAATTCACTCCAAGTGAAGTTCTGAAAACAAAGAGCATAGCTAGAGCCAGAATTCATGTTGAAAGGGTGATGGTTAGGCTGAAGAAGTTTAAAATTTTAACACACATACCAAAATCGCTTTATACAAAGTCATCTTTAGTATTTCAATTATGTGCTGCATTAGTAAATTTCCAAAATCCAATAATAAAAGAAGTTGAGCATCTGTTTGTAAATAATGACAACACATAAAATATAAATTCCAATATTCAGTTTTTATTTGTTAAAAAAATTATAATATAATGATAATTATTTACTATGTATACAAATATTAATACAAATAAAAATTTTTTAAATTAAATTATGTAATTATTTATTATATATATTATATAAAGGATATAAATTTTATAATGAAAATGTAAGTTTTATTAATCCATTTGTTATAATTGTATTATGAAATTAACCCAAGTATATATTTTTTTTTATTATTTTTATAAGAAATTCCTAGACTATAGACTATCTATTTCAAGTATATAAAATGTAATATATAGAAGGATATAAATTTTGATATGTATAAAAATTAATTGTCTGTTAAAATATAAGGTATGAATTTATGATGGTAAAAATTTAATAAAATATCAATATTTGATGACCAATTTGGATCTTTATACATTTTGAAAGCAACTAAAGATTTAGTAGTCCATATAATAAGAATTGCAGATGACATTTTTGTCATGTGCATTTGACCTTGTATTTGGTCATAATATTCATGGTTGGAATTTAAAACGAAATCATTTTTATTTATATCAAAGTAAATGATGTAATCTTTTGAATTTGAAAGCGCAATTTTTAAGTCTTCATTCCGAAATTTATAAGGACACTTAACTTCAATGCAATAAGAAGAGTTTTCATCGAAAAGCAAACCATCTGGACTGGCTCCCAGTCAGCTCCAGATTCATGTAACCAAATGCCAGTTTTAGTCACAATAGAATTGTTAGCCTTCTCAAACTCTTCAATTGCAATACTTTCATGTGTTTTCCCCCATTCAATCGATTTAACTCCATCCACAAAATATTTTCCTAAGAGACCTTTAAAAAGTGAATTAGGATATCGATTACTTTTGACCGATTTTATTATTTTATGAAAATTACTCGAAGTAAGACGAAATTTCCTAGAAAGACACCATTTTACATTTGCAAATAGCCCTATGGTCATTGAAGCTATATCTTTAACCTGTTCAAAAGATAACTTACAAATGTCAGACAACATTTGAACACTATTTTTAGAATTTCTAAATTCTGAAGAATTAAGAACATTTTCCAATAGAAGAATATCACTTAAATCTTCAACTGGAGGTTCTGGACTTAAAAACCATGAAAATCCAACTGTTTGATTAGTTGCTGTTAATTTATCAAAGCATAAAGCTTTAAAATCAATATTGTGTGTATCAGTAACAGCTTTAAAATTATTTTCATAAATATCATCAATAATCAATAATTCATCATTTTCTCTTACAGATTTTTTTGACCAGCTGCATGATATATCAGTTACAGATATATTATTATGCCCATGTAAAAGAAGTGAAACCATATGATGGCATTTTGTCAAACCTGTCGGACATGTACAGCTGGCATGTTCAATATTTTTATCTTTGAAAAATATCTGTAAAAATTAAATATTCAATTATTTTAGGAATCATATTATAAATGATACAATCAAAATTACAAAGTTGTTTACCTTAACATCATACAATTTATTTTTCATACTTGCATGCACTTGACCACTAAGTATACCCACATCAGGTATGTAATTAAAACTTTTGACATAGCCACATTCAAAAGAATTTTCTCCTTTAGAAAATATTTTTTTATCATCAATAAAATTAATGATGCACGAAAGCTTGATGATGCTGTTTGACGTCATATTTTTTAACTGGAAAAAAATTATTTTTCTACATTAGTAAATTGATTAATGAAGGATAATATATATTATACTCACTTCAAAAAGGAAATCTGACACTTTATTTGCTCACTGAAGACCGCCGAAACAAAGCTTAGGGCAAGCAAATGGCTCAAAAAGAAAAAAACAACAAATTATATAATATATAAGTATAGTAATAAAACATACTTATTATGTAAAATGGAGGGAAAATAGTACATACTTCTATGTAAAAATTGCAATAGTAAAAAATATTAATAATACTTAACTGATTTGTGTATAATCCATAGAGTATGTGGTATAATGTGTGTGCCATAGAAATACAAAATACTACACTTTGATTATATTGACGAAAAAAGCGTTTAGCTTCATATTTTTGGTCGGTATATATGTATAAACTTGTAAAGAACATGTTTTTAATAGTTAGAACTTTAAGAAAAAAATACAAATGCACTTAAAACCAATTTTTTTCAAACATGTTTTTCGACCCATGTATTTCTTATGGAATGAACCGTGATAACGGCTTGTTTTGAACCGTCGGTCTTATCAATAGACAATGTGACGTCACTACTATTTGTGCCTATAAAGTCTACGGCGCCAAAATGTTACAATATCGCAATTGATAAGATTCGGATTGTTATCAATTGACAAAACACGATTGTTTTTTGTACTTCGATGTTTCTAATATTTGATGATTTATTGATTTATACTTTCTAATTCTAATTTATTTACAAATTTTACAATTAACTAATTACAATAATAATATCAAATAGCTAAAATAAAATTGTTAAAAGTATGGCATCAAACAGTTTAAAAAAATTGAAGACTTTACATGACTTTTTTAAGCCAAAACTAAATGCTGGTAAGTTATTATTTAATACGTACTTTAAAAATATAAAAATGTTTCATTTTTATCAGAACTAGGTATGTTGTTTTGTTTAACTTAGGTTCAACTTATAAATTAACTATATTAAATAATTTAGGTGACAATGATCCAAATGATCAAGTTTTATTATCATCACAGTGCAGTATAGTATAGTTAGTATAGTCATGAAGAATCGGAAAGGGGTACCTCATCAATTAATTTTAATGTATCATCAGGTATTTAAGTATTTTAATATTTATGTACATAATTTTAAAATAACTTGGTTTTTGGTCAGTGTTATATTGTGTTTATAGAATTATTGTATCTATTTGAATATTTAATTTATAACTAATATTTATTTTGATAGTTTCTAATAATTGTTATAAATTCTAATAATAATTTTTTATGTTGTTTGTATTTTAAATGTTATGTTATTTGTATTCAATGTTAAATGTAGTAGCCCAGGCTACTTAAGTAGTTACGCGCAATCGCATACATTATATTATAAATGTTAAGTACAAAATATATTTAGTAATCATTAAATGTGTCAATTTTATTTTGAGTATTAACAACCATTAGTTTTTAAACATCTTTGATTGCATTAATACTAACTCCTATGTGTAAATTATTTTTGTGTTATAATGCCATATTGTGTAATGAATTTAATAGCTAATAACTATAAATTACAAAATAATAATTGTATTTACTTAAACTAAATTATTTTGTGTAACATAGATTAGTGGTTTATGATAAAAGGAACTCTATAACAGTACAAGTAGTAGGTACCTATATAATTATTAATTAACTACTTGGTAATTGGTATAGTTAGTGTTGAATATCTGTGATCAGTATAGTGTTTTGTTGGTATTAGAATGACTTAACTTTTAAATAGGCTCAATAATTTTAAATGGACATTCATATAACTCTTATTATATTTAGATTAAGATAACCATAACTCAGATTTACATCCCGATGATCCAAAAAATATTGAACCATTAAATCAAATAAAATTTAAACAGCGAGTTATCAGAGGACCTCATCAACCAGATTTAGAATTTTATCCTAAATCATCATTTAGTGGAACTCAGCGTTCATTTCAAAAATCCTGGTTTAAATTATTTTCATGGTTAGAATACAGTCCAAAGTTTGATTTGGCATTTTGTTTTCCACGTCGCATGTTCAACAGTAGTATATATTTGTATGTTCACAGTTCGTTTTTCCACGGTAATTTTTTTTGTTCAAGCGGGAATGTTCCGCTCGGACGACTCAGAATTACCATATCACACAATACGGTAATTTCACACTCAGTGTCAACCTATTTACCGCTCACACGAAAATATTTACCGTGTACGCATTTTTTTTTCCATGAAACCTTACTAATGTCCGGGACATTTGCGGTCAGCTTATTTATATCTAAATTTAAGATTTATATATAATATACTTTATATACTAAATATATAGGTAGGTGCATGTGATATATATTGAACTTTCCTTCACACTTTTCCAGGCTTAGGACTGGCAGTAATTTTTACTGGCGTGTTTTAAAGATAATTATTGTTATTATTATTATTATTATTATTAATATTATATTACTTATTCTAATTTTTGAATATTAGCAATGACATTCAAACATTTTGTCAAATTTTTATCAACTTCATACTCAGCTAATGCCTTTTTGATTCGTTGGTCTAATTGTATGTAAGTTTTTTTCTTCTTTTCCCTTCCATATTTAAGTAACTGCGTTCATATAATAAATCAGAATTTTCAGCCTCTTTTTTTTAGACAGTGATACAAATCATTAAAAGTTGGTTGTGGCTTATTTAATATTTTATTTAATTTACTGTTCCACCCTCCAACAATGTTATTTGTTCGATGTCTACTTTGATAACAATTCCATACATTCTTGAAATATTTGGGTTTTCCAGCCACTATTCAATAAAATAATCATAAAATATTTTAAGCTTATCATTATCAGGTGTATTGGTCATAATAATAATCCAACCTTCGTCAATGTCATCAAATGGAATATGAGCTAAGGCAGAACACATTCTAACGTGTAATCTAATATCTGCGTCATTTTTATAATTATTCGCTAAACCTATATTATGAACTTTTCTCCAAAGCTCTTGATTAAAATGAAAGTTGTAACCATATATTTCAGCATTAGGGAATATTTGTTTTATTGATTGAAAAGTCGATATTTCAAAATCCAATGTAAATGATTCAGGATTAAAGTTTGGAATGTGTGCTTTTATCATCGAAAATAAACGCTCATAAACAATTTTTGTTTTAGTAGTATATATTTGTATGTTCACAGTTCGTTTTTCCACGGTAATTTTTTTTGTTCAAGGGGGTATGTTCCGCTCGGACGACTCAGAATTACCGTATCACACAATACGGTAATTTCACACTCAGTGTCCACCTATTTACCCCTCACACGAAAATATTTACCGTGTACACATTTTTTTTTCCATGAAACCTTACTTAATTAATATTTCAAGAAAAAAAAACACAAATTATTAAATAAATTTTTTTTTTTATTGTTATAAATTAATATTATATTTACACAAGTTTTCTTACTTCTCTAGTAAAAGGTACATATTCTACGATACGATCATGAATTAATAAACAATAAGCAGTTACACCTGTAAAGGATTCCGATGCCTCAATTTCCAATTGAACATCCACTGCTGAGGCTGTAGCCGAATCATTCAGTTTTGAAGTATCGATAACTATAATCGGAGCGCTAGATACAAAAGTGGAATTACTCAATATCGGGTTCCGTATATTTTTTTCATAGTACGATTCTTGAAAAGATGTATACATATCATATAATAAGGTAAAATTATTTTTTGCAAAATCTAAATTTAAATTATCATACGGATAAGCTATCGAGTTTAGAAATACTTTAACGTTTGTTAGATTACAATGATCAAATATACTACTATCTTTTGAAAACGAATTTTTACGTCCCTTCTGCAATCCAATTATGATAAATCGTGGTTTTTCTAATTTCGAAGCAGTTTTCAAGTTCCATACAACTTTTTTAGTAGTCCCGAGTTCAGGATATTCAAAAGTTTCAAAAGATCTAAAAGGTATAAACAAACTTTTTTCTTTTTCTACAAGTTTCAATAACTTTAACCTTTCTTCATCGTCAACAGTAATATGTGGAACCTTCCAGACTATTTTGTTTAAAATCACTTTACCTATAGTTGGAGCAGCTACACCAGTTTTTGAGTTTAACGCATTTATATCGGTATGGCTTCGAGTTAATATCAATTCCAATCTAGAATTAACTAATATTTTTTTAAAGTCTTCAAAAAAACCTAGCCAATATTTCAACGGAATGCAAGCACTAAATTCACCTTTTTCGTTTGCTGATTGTGATGTATTTTTAAAATTCCAGCCAGAATTCTCATAACAATGATAGTTGTCTGGTGTACAGGATAAGTAACCTTTTAACGAGCTAGTGATTCCAAGAATACGTGTACTATCTACTTCTATCCCATTGATTTCTAATCGTATTTGTTCAAAGAGGTAAGAGTAACCATTATTAGATAGTTTCACTTTGTCAGCTTCCGATATTATTCCTTCAAGGAAAATAAAGCTCTCATGTAGATATGGATAAACATCTGTTTGCTGGATTGATATACGTATCTCGTCATTATTATTAAACGATGTTGTATACGGCGTATATGAATGATATTCAATTTTCGTAATTCTAGAATCCGTTTCATACCGTGAACCTATATCTAAAATATCACTCTCAAGCATTCTGCTGTAGTTGATAACCCAAAGCTTATACATTTTTTTTTATTTTTCCCTGTCAATTTTTTAACTTTATTTGATGTTGCTAGTACCACTTTAGTCTTACGACTAGTTGGACTGATCTGAAGTAATGGGCTTATATTGAATTTTAATCCCATCTCAAGACCCGTAACGTTTAATATGCAGAACGATTGTTAATGTCTCACCAAAATTATCAATCAGGTTATGATCTTAATCAACTAGCAGAACGGTTATTGAGTCAATATTTGTTTTATTCAATTTGTAATAAATAAAGTTTCGTGGTGACTGGATTACTTTAGATCCTGTAATTTCAGTAGGGAAAAACTCGTAAATTGAATGACTTTGAAGATGATCCTTGAGCTATATTACACATTACTTTTATAGAATTAATTGTGTTTAAATTAGTAGCTTTTTCCGAACGAAGAATTTCATATTCTGGCTCATATTCTCGTTTTTCAAACCCCAATACAGGAGCTATACTGTTTAAAATCTCAAAGTGTAGAATTCCATTACATTTTATATATGATCTGAAATCATTAGGATCCATTGAAATGTCAAATGTTAACTCTTTATCGTATTTCCTATTATAGACATCTATTTGTTCCTTAACTCTATAATTAATATCTTTAATTTCATAACATCCCTCTTCCAGTTTAATATAACACATCATGTAATTATTATTGTTAT